AGAAATATAGCAATGGTATCATCGATCTATAAAAGATAAATCGATACCTTTACTATAAATGTAGTAATCTTTAATAATTGAAGTCTAACTTCTTCTTTTTTTTAAATTTTATATTTCTACATAACCTGTATACGAATGCAAAAAAAGGCTACAATAATCCTTTTATAATGAGGTATGGTTTCCGCCAAACAACTTGCGTATATATCAAAATAAATAAAAAAAAAATTTCTCTGCCAAATAATTAATTAAACGTACATTCGTAATGGAAGGAATAAAGAGAGAAGATAAAACATTCCCACACTATATAAAAAAATTAGAAAGCTCGTCAAATATTAGAGATCATTTTTTCCACATTTCATGTTTTCTTGATACATTTAGGATAATAATTATAACATAAATTTTACATTGTTTTACTTTCGTTTATCATTTCTCTTCTACGCTTAATTTTTCTTTTGCGCCTTTTAAAGTTTCATTTTTTAACAAGGGGGCGCAGGAAGATCATAAAATCATGTATCGTCTATAGTTTAGACCAATCAAAATATCGAAATGTATATAAAATTTCAAATTTTTAAAAATTTCCTTTTATCTGCAAGAGTATTAAGTTTATTAGTTTATGTGTTAGGATTATTATTATTATACCTTATACCTTATTCTCTATAAGGCAGAAAAATATACCAACTTGGCTAAGTATAGTGGGAATATGGGTTGCGTGTCATCAAATGCTCGGGAATAAGAATTAAATATTTCATTTACATTTTTTCTTTACTAATAAATAAATGGGGGCTAAGCGATAACTGACTTTCTCCTGCCGTTCATCTGCCGCATTCGATAGAAATACTATATAGTTTCAAATTTAATTTAGTTTTTGTTCTTACGCTCTAAATCTTCTATTTTAATACGGTTTTTTTTTCATTTTCGTCACTTTCGCACAATTAATTATTTTTACCGATCGATGTAAACAAAATATGTTTTTTTGTTTAGCGCTTAGATTAAGTTAATGAGAGAGCTTCGTAGAGTGTATTTTTAGTTTTAAGCACTTATAACACTTGGTTTAAAAACCACATATTTTAAAGAAAAATACTTAATGAAAAATTTAAAAGTCAAATTAAATTATAATGAAGGCAATCTTTCAACTTTTAAAATTTTTATTATGAGTTTTCATTAAGTTTTAATAATCAAACAAATATAATAAACGGTAAAAATGAATACAATGATAAATTTGTTTTATTACTTGTTCTTGAGAAGTGTTTGCTTTTTAAACCAAGTTTAATTATAGGTCAAAACATCTCTGAAACACTTTGATACAGAATTTGAGACCATATTTTTTTTGTTCAACTTCAAACCGATTGTAATACCCACATAATATTTCTTATACTTCGTGTGAAAATTTCAAAAAACTGACAAAACAGTCATTCCTTTTCAAATAATCCAACAAAATAAACTAAAATTTCTTACTTATATTATTTTGTCAGGACCATTAAAGCTTGTCTATCTGTCTACCGTCTTTTGTTTTTTGTGTTCACCTTGTAGGTCACAATTTTTGAGATTTTTTGGTGAAACTACATACGATGACAGGGGAGGACAAGGAGAAGAATGCGTCGTTAACATTACTCTCTCAAATTACCAAATTCGAAGTTCAAATACATTGCAACAAGTGGTCGCTCATTTAATTACTCTCTCAAATTATCAAATTCGAATTTCAAATGCATTCAAACAAATTTCGCTCATTTAATTACTCTCTCAAATTACCAAACTAGCTACCGACGGACGGATTCGATTTTCAAACCAATTTAATAAGAAAGTCAAAACAAATGTTAAATTCTTCTTCTGCGACTTGAGTACAAAATAAAAGAGAACATCTGTTTTTAAAAAGAAAAAAAATAATAATAAAACCAGCTGAGCTAAGGGCTAGGCGTCGTTTTTAATATGGGCAAACCGTTACCGCCATGTCCGCTGACAGGTTTTGGGTAATAGACGACCGCCGCTATACATGGTTCGGTTCGCACCACTTTTTCATCTGTATTCCCTATAAATCGTTATTTCCAAAAGTCGTTGTATGAACAACAGTATTAAACAAGTTGGCCCTGGATATTTTATGGGGTCCCTGGTCCACTACAACGTTCTTGCTTATTTCTTAAAGAATTTTGAATAGGTCGTGCTAGATTTTACAATTTGATAGTGTTGCTTTCTCTGCGCTTAAAAAATAACCGATTTAGGACTCATCCGTCGTGTTTCCCTTTGTAACAATAAAAAAATTGTTGTTGAGGTTTGGTGAATCTCGCCCACTTTAATTACGCTTCAATTAAATGTCAATATTCAAAGTTCTTCTACTTTAAATACACATTAACAGACATGCAAAACTAGACGCGGTTGATACTTCACGATATCGAATAAGCTCGATTGTAATTTTACGATCAAAAGATTTTTAATTCGATAGTAAGAAAAATGCGCACTTTATTGACAGCCACAAATTCTCTACTTATTACAGTGAGTTCATCATCCGAAGTTATGGAGCTTATTCTAGACTAGACTAACTCAAATCTTGTCGATTCTTGTTTTTTTTTTCAATTTCAGTATTCGTCCTTTTGATGATCTGGTTTATGAAGATTGCTACAATAACGAAGACAGCGATGACAAATACGACTCGGAAGATTCCAACGAAGAAAATTACTTTGCTAACGATTATCCTGACGAAGACGATGAAATGGTTTGTAACAGCAGTGAAAGCCCAGATGAATATGGCAATGAAAAATTCGAAAATCTCAGTACAGCAATGAACAATTTTGTTTTCGGTAAGTAAATACGTATGTACAGGAGAATTTGACTCACTGTACATTCATGTACATTTATTATACTAGGTAAGGATGACGAAGAAACTGACAGTTCGTCTAGTTCCTCCTCGGCAGATAATGATAATTACTACAATTCATATGAGGACCCTTATATTCATACAATCAATTTTGAAGACGAGGATTTTTGTGAAGACGTTGATTATTACGATGCTGCACGCTATGGAGTTGCCTACGCGCGTTACAAGGCTCGGCATGTTAGAATGAATACTAACGCTCTCAGCAGTGGAGAGAATGTTTTGAAGGCTAATTCAGACGACAACGATGAAGATGATGATTATATTCCTTTCAGTGATGATTCTTTTCAGAGTGCTAATGAGAATGAACGTGAAGAAGAATAATAGATACAGATTATACCATGTTGATTTAAAAATAAAAGATTGCAAGTTTTAGCACTCGAAAATACCGAAAAAAGCCTATCTAATCTTCAAGCAACAATTTTTGCAAATTATGTAAATTTTTTTTCAATGAAGAATCTTGCTCGATCTAAGTTGGATGAAGACAGGGTTTGCGAAAAGTTCAAGGAGCTGTGAACGAGAATGATTACTTTACAAAGGAATATCGCTAAAATACAGCTTTAACGCCTTTCTCAATAACAGAAAGCCTTCCTTTATGAAAAACTAACATTCCATAGTATTTTCTTTAAAATGTTAAAAAAAAACCGTTAGAATATTAACGAAGATGAATTCCTTTTTCTTACTATCTACCACTAAAGCGACCATTTGCCGCCAATTTTTTCTTTATTTTAGTTTTTGTTTCCGCTCCTTATTTTTTATTATTCTAATATGAGAAAGAAAAATACTTAATGAAAAATTTAAAAGTTAAATTAAATTATAATGAAGGCAATCTTTCAACTTTCAAAATTTTTATTATGGGTTTTCATTAGGGTTTAATAAACACTCAAACAAATTCTTTGTTTACTTTTTAAACCAAGTTTCATTATACGTCAAAAGATCTCCGACACACTTTGAAAGAGCTGTGAACAAGAATGATTAATAAAATTAATGGTTATCCGTAATTTCGTTAACAAGGGTTCCGTTTCGAAAGTTTGGTTTAGTTTTGCTAGCATATGGCTTGCGTTATTAGAAATTTATTTTGAAAAAGTATAGGGAATATGATAGGTAAATTTGACATTTTTTTGTTTACAATGATGCAATCAATAACGAAGTTACATAAACCTCAACAAAAGTGTGTACAATTTTGTTAAAATGAAATGAAATGAAATAATTTTTTATAATTCTTATTTTCAGTTCTTAGGAAAACATTCAGTTCTGAACTTGAACTTTCAACTTTTTTATATGCCGTATAAGCACATATACTAAGTATTACTTAGACAACTGGTGTAAAAAGTAAGCAAAAAAAGATGATAAATATACTTATCTTTCGCAAATTTAAAATTGTCTGGTTTGGTTCAGCTGGTTGTAACTAAACAACAACAATTTTACTCAGTTTATTTACGGCTGTTTCCTTTTATAATTGAAATGCTAAACAATCAATCTATCCCAGTATAAAAATATTAGCGAAAGGCGCGAGTTATTTTGCTTGCACCTGATCTGACAGCTTGAAAGAGCGTTTCCGGCACGCTTTGGGCACACACATAGCAAGAGAAAGTCAAAATCCAGAAATCTCATTTCGCACTTGTCTCTTTAAGTTAATTTTTTTGACATAAATTTATGATCGGAATAGCTGGAAAGTATGGTTAAGAATGTGCATATGTCGTGCATGGCTTCTAAAATTTTTTATTCATGGTAGAAAGCCAGCATTTACCGAAAAAGACGTGAAAATGTACAAAATATTAAATTCAATAAAGTTGGTAGCCCTATCTTCTTCTTTCTCTGCTATAGCGTTTTGCTTGTTGCGTCGCTGGCATTGTTGTTTTAAAATGTTGTTGGTTCTGAGAGAAAGTTTCTTTGATTACTTGGCAGCATTAGAAATTTTGTTAAATGGCAAACAAGTAGTAGAAACTTCTGTTAAATGGCAAGCAAATAGTGGAAACTTCTGTTAAAATGCAAAGCCGTCGGAAAAGTAATGGAAACTACTGTTAAATAGCATTTTAACAGCGGTGTCCTATGCTTTTAGGTTTAGGTGCGAGTAGCAATTAGGAGTTGTAGTTGCGAGTTGGTTTGCTGAGAGTAAAAGTTACCTTGCTGGATATTTTTATGAATGCCGTTTTAAACTTTTTCTGAGAGTAAAATCTACTTTGCTGCGCACATGAATGAAATGAAATGAATAAGCAGCATCTCTATACTTCTCGTATTCTCACTTGCTTTTTGAGTACGATAATGTGTCGAGATATAAATTTGTTGTTGTCGCCTCTGTCGCCTCATTTTATTTTTGTTTTGATGGTGACGTGACGTGAAAGACGTAAATTGTCCGTGCCTCCGAAAAAGTTAGAATTTTGTGTAAATTTCTTAGAAAAAAACTTAATACACAGTAAATAAATTGTTATAAAGCTTATGTGAAATTTTTATATCGCAAATAAAAAGCATGTAAATGTACATAATAAACGTGTGTATATATATATATACATATATATATATATATATTTTTATATGTGTAAATAAAGAAACAAGTTTTTTATTTTCAATACATAACACCGGGAGATATTACAAACCATAAGCAAAAGAGAGGTAAAAAAAAAATAACAATTAATATAAACAAAATAATGTAAGCGAATTATAAATATCATAATATATATAAATATGTCATTAAAAGCCATCAAGAAACGGACGTAGCGCTTGTCTCTCGAAAAGTGAAAGATTTTCTTTTCAGAGCAAACAAAAATAAAAGTGAAGTGATGGGGAAGAAATATAAAATGATAATTTATCACACATATGAGAAAATTAATTATCGAAGCAATTAACTAAATATGAAAAAGATTTTTTGGCACATTTTTGGAAGACTTAAAAAGTGTTACTTTCTAAAGCGAGAAGGAAAAGTATACAAGTGTGATTGCGTGCACTCGTTTCTAATAGGGATGATTTTCTTTGTATCTAAATTGAAAAACTTGAAAATATTATATTAATTAATATTATGAACTTAAAGCGCCCCTCCCGAATTCGGGGATCTCATAATGTTTGTGGTATTAACGTATAAAACGACTGGTTGGTGGCAATGTGCGTTTTTTAAGCAAATATAGTGAAATTTTTTATTGATTCATAATCGAGAGAATATCAACAACAAATCAGGCATTTCGTTTTTTGCTTGATTTGATGGCCATGGCGATGAGTTTGATTTTCTTAAAAATTAAAACAAAAACGGATTTACAAGTAAATGAGCAAACATACTTTTTCTTTCGTTTCTCTTGCTAACTTGTCGATTATAAAGCTGACATGTGATCTGATTAAGTGGTAACACCGTTTTCTCTATATTTATATAGAGAGTGTAACCTCTGTGGGTATTTTGTCAAGGAGTATAAATTTGCACTCTCTTCGGATTAAGGAAGAAAATTTTTAGTAGAAATAGTGACTTTTTGCTCTATTGTGCAAAAACCTCTAAAAGAATATATTAGTGACAAAAAAATAAAAATAATTTAAACGGCTCTATAAGAATAAGAATGGTTGTGCTGGTGAGTTTTACTTTTTACTAAAAAATAATGGCTACACGATACTTTTTCTTATAAACATATTGTCATGTTGTGATTCTTGGTCCATCAAAAAAAAAGGTTTTTGTCTGTAACTCATTGCATTATTAATTCTTTTATAACTTGGATTTGGAAAACTTGGATTTTCTTTAAGTTTGTATAAAATTTCATCATTTTAGTGTGCTGTCTGTGACATTTTTCATGAATATATTGATTTCGTGTTGTTATTAATAGTAACTTTAAATTTGCCCATGTTTTTATTGTAGCAATCAGAAATATCCATCGAAAAGGCACTTATCTGGCGTTAGATTTTAAGACGAAAAACTTATGGCGAAATGCAGACGATTTCCAAATTCAATTCATTTAAAGCTCAAAATTTTTACGCCGTTTATTTTTAAGTAAAACTTGACAAAGTTCTTTTTAACAAGCTTTTCTACCTTTTTTTTGCAAATGAACATGATTCCTATGCGAAAAGACAAGCAATTAAACACAATACCTATCCAGAGCGTGGAGAATTGAAATGTCTTCCCAAATGTGTTCCTCTGATTATATTAAATGTACATACATATGTGTAACTTTTATGTTTCGTTTTTCTTTGCTTATGGTTGTATTTTCGTTAACTTATTTTTAACTTGCAGTTGCCCGGACGGTTCGCGTAAAAAAATTTTCTTGCTTGTGTGATTACTCGGAAATATTTTCGTGTGAGAAATTGAGAATTTTATTTTTTGCTTTTGTTTATTATGCCACCTATATTATTGCACGTACGTGCGGAAACCACTTGAACATTATAATTCGCGACCGACAGGATTTAAAAAATTTATTTGCTTTTCTCCTTGCATGGGTCTGTTGTTAAAATCACGAGTGTCGCATCGCAATCCTCCCTGGAAAGTTCCATTTTGCTTTAAAGTATGTTTTTTCGTATCACCGCCATAACGAAATTTAAAGTAAGCAAAAACTTAAAAAAAATCATATCAAACAGTTATGCTTCATCAAAACCTTCATATGTGAAGGAATGTAAAAAATGTGTCTACATGGTCCAAACTTTGTATATTTTAATTTTCTTATCAAACTCTTTTCATGGATCAAGCTGTGAAATATTCAAAATTGTACTGCATAAGTTTTACTATACAAAGGCTAAATTTTTATAGGAAGGATTGTATAGGAGCGAGTATGGAAAGTTTCATCTATTCCCTTGAAATTCTTCACATCAACTAAATATGCCGAAATACTATCGTCCAGCGATTTTTGTTAAGTCCCCTTTCCAAGATAAGGCATCTGCTGGGAATGATCGCAAAAATGGGCCGATATAAACCGTTCCCAATCGTTCGTCCTTCGTGCAAAGCAGGTCACTATATCAAATTTCGTCAAACTACACCAAAAATTGCTACCTGTAGATTGAGATACTTGGACATACATCTAATAGATGGGCAAACAAGGTAAAATCATTCCAGGAAAGGGTTCTAAATTATTCGATCTATGATGTCTGTGTGGCAGTTCATACATAGATTGGTGCTCTTACTAGTGCTTGGTGCATCGCCATGCTTGGGCCTAATGTCCTATTGCGACTGGATTAAATCGGAAAATTTTTACTGTCAACGCTAATTTAAAAGCACGTCTTGAAAAAAATACTTAAGTTTTAATGTTTCCACAAAGAAAACAATTAAAAACTAATATTTTGGCATTTTGAATGGATATGGACAGTTTGGATGGAACATGTACATGTATGTGGATATGTGCATAAATCTTCCAGCCAAAACTTTCGATTAAACATAAACTTGACTTTTCGGTCTGTAGGGACAGTTAAATCATTTGTCTGCACATCGAAATCAATGTTTCTGTTTCCTCTCTCTGGTACTTCCTCCTTTAGAAATATTACGTATCATCAACTAATCTATTTGCATTTGTGTTTGCCCTATGTTATGTACCTCCGCCCTTTGAATATTCCGGAATGCTTGGTATTATTGGTCCAACCCAACGTTGTCCGATTTTCTTCAAAGTGTGCAGAATGCTATTTTCGTTCCAAACGCCAAGCGTTTAATTATTCAAATTAAGATGTAATGGAAACTTTTAACACCGACTAGGAATAATAAGCGCTCTCAGAGGTTTGTAGGTGCAAAACAAAGTGAGTAAAAGTTTATTTTCTCACAAAGTGAAATTATTTTTTAATTTCGTTTCACT